CAGTAACAGAAAGGTGACTAATATAATAGGACTTCTTGGTTAAGAGGACTTTGGAAATCTCAGTTTCAGTATTCATGAAGCTCACATACTTTGTTTCCTGTCTCTGAATCCACAAACCTCTGTACCCAGTATGGCTCTCCTTCTTTTATTTAAACCAGTCAAGAGCGTTTTTTGATGCACTATTTCCAAAAAGAAAGAAAAATATTCTTTTTCGGAATTCTATTATTTGTACACATCTTTCATATTAGTGAAAGTTATAATAACCTTCATGTGCATTTGTATCTTTCCAGACAGTTAGCTATAAAACATTTACCAATGTACCACTCCCTAAGGGTAAAATATTAATCATGAAATACCATCCAATCTATTCTTACCCAATAAAACACAATGACTTAGCCTGTGTTAACTCCAAACTCTAGAATAATACTAAAATCAAACTAAATAAATAAATGGTTTAGTTTACACACTTGCTATCTGCCCCGGGTTCCAACAACAAAAGGTTCTGGTGTTTATCAATCAGAGAATTACATACCCTGTGGGCGAAGTTTCTAACTTAAGACCAGGGCCTCCATACACTATTAGACTGTAATAGACTATAGCTTAGAAATATCAGGGTATTTTATGAAATAGATAAATGTAGCTATGAATTAACAATACAGCTTTAAAAATACTTAACAATGGGCATTTTAAAAAAATAATAAATAACTTAGAATTTCAGAAAAAGAATTACACCAAGAGTAGGTTGTGCTTGCAAAACACATCTCACTTTATCTTCTCAAGTCAGAGCTTGGCAGCCGGGCCCCATTCACCCTATGGTTATTTCCTATTTTCTCTGCTACTTCCATTTCTGGTTTTAAAAAAGGACTAGTTATTTGGCTTTTGAAAACTTGCATTTGTATTATTTTAAAACAAACATACTTCTAAAATAAAAATTTTCATACTCAGTCTGTTCTGCGAATTTCTAATGTGCTGGACAAATTTCAACTATTATTTCTCAATATACAACACAATTTGAAAAATTCTAATCACAATTTTGATAGCCCTCTCTTTTTTCTTAACTTGCATTTTAAGAAGTCCCAGTCATAAAATTAGAAGGGTGATTAAACTAACTATTGAAGAAGAAAACATTAAGAACTAATATGAGACCATTAAAAATATATCACTTGACAACATTTAAAACTGCAAGGAAAAAGTGATAGAAAAGAAGCCATAAAAAAAAATATTCAACATAATGTACACACCAGGAACGGCACTGTGGTATCATTTACACCTCTGCCTTGGGGAGTAACGGAAGGTCAGAGCTTCCTGAGAATGCAAGTGGTACCATTGTGCACAAGGATTGCAAGCTCAGCTGGGGTTGGGGAGTTCTAAGAGAACTGTGAGTTCAGAGTGCTGTGAAATCTTTGAAATCTCCAAGGAACAAGCGTTTTTCAATGAGTTGGTTACTTGTGGCAGCCCCTAGGTAGCATTGAACAGAAACTGGTCATAGGAAAGGCCAAGGCAGAGTTAGGATTTTTCATGCCCACTTACCCCCAACCTCCAAGGGAGAGAAGAGGGGTTAAAGGCTAAGGTGATAACCAATGGCCAATGATTTAATCACTCAAACCTATGTAATGAAAATTTCCATAAGAAGATAAAAGGACTTGATTTGGAAAGCTTTCAGACAGTTGAACATGTGGAGATTTCTGAAGGTCACTGTACCCAGAGAGGGCACTGTACCTCTTCCTAATGACTCACCATACACATCTCTTCATCCATATCCTTTGTTAATATCCTCTATAAAGAACCAGAAAACTTAAACAGGTGTTTCATTGAGTTCTGTGAGTCACTCTAGTAAACTGATCAAACCTAACAAGGGAGCTATGGAACTCCCATTTACAGTCACAGTCAGTAAGAAGCACAGGTAAAACCACCTGGAGGTTGTGATTGGCACTGGAAGTGGAGGGCAGTCTGTGCAACTGAGCTCTCACCTTAAGGGATCTGGCACTATCTCCAGGTAGTGTCTGAACTGAAAGGAATTAAGAGGACACAAATGATGGTTGATGGTGGGTAAAATTCCCACACTTCTTTGGGACCAGTGGTCCCAGAAGTCTTCTGTGTTGATTATATAAAGTAGAGGCTATAGTAGGAGAGACTGAGTTTGTCTTCCTTCTCTCCTCAGTTATCTTTGCTTAGGGCTAGAAGAGATTCTTTGGGGGTAAGAAAAAGCCTACAAACTGCAAAGACAGAGCCAGAAAACAAAAATGTGTGCTAATAATGCATGTCACTGTGGGGTAGAGGAGCTGGGCAAGGGATCAAAACCAGTAAAGTGACACCAGGAGGAGAGCTGGAAACGACCATTTGGAAAACCCAAGTGTTCTAAAGCTCCTTGGACCACCCTACACTATAGTCTACAGCCTTTAATTTTATTTTTAATAGATAAATAAATTGTACATAGTGTACTCTGAGCAAATTAAAGACTTGTAAAAATAAAACTACAGTAAAAAATAAGATAACTCAGAGCATTTGCAAAATTCATACAACAAACCAAAGATCCCCTGACACCCATCCTACTAAATATGGTACACTCCCTACTTTTTCTTTTTTTGATGATACAAGGGTTTGAACTCAGGGCCTTGTGCTTGCTGGAAGGCACTCTTCTACTTGGGCCACATTCCAATCCTTTTTCGCTTTAGTTATTTTCTGGGCAGGAGCTTGTGTTTTTACCCGGGGCTGGCTTGAGACTTTTATCCTGTTACATATGCCTCCCATGTAGCTGGAATTATAGATGTGCATCAAGGTGCCTAGCTTGTCTAGCTAACTTTTTGCCAGGGCTGGTCTTAACCCTGATTTCTACCTCCTGGGTAGCAGGGATTAGAGGCATGAGCCATTGCCTCCACCTAAACACGGTATACTCCATTTATTTTCAAATTCTTTTATTTTTATGTAAAAATAGTTCCTGGGAGCAACCCAGGTTCCCTGAGGTAAACCCCTCAGGTCATATTCTGCAGTTTTAAGCAACACTGTAATGGAGCACTTACTCTTGACTATGGGGACACATGAAAGCCAAGGGTCCTGCAAGACCTAGCTCAGCCTGAATCCTGACCCTCAATGGTTCAATTTTCTGATTTCCTTCATTTGTTTTGGAGTAAGTTTCAAACTACCTTGGCATGGAGTCTTTCGCCATCCGGCCCAACCACAGTTCAAATTTTAATGGCCCACCACACCAGCTGCTCAAGAACATGTATTTCAAGATCAGGCTAAAGCACCCCTGCACTCAGAACAAACCTCTGCTGACTCTAGAATTCTAAAACTTTATCTTACTGCCTCTCCAGCTTCCATTCATACATATGCAGCCATCCTGCTCCACCCCTGCCATCAGAGTCCAAACACACAGGATTATAAAAGATACTGCTTGGTATGTACTTAATGTGCTGACTGAACAATTGAACATGCAGCTCCCATGAAGAGAGAAAAGACTATCTAGGACAGTTTGGGTTAAAGACTGAGAAAGTTCAGGTCAGAACCTAAATCACCAAGAAACCCTTTCAACTAAACCAGAGCCTTAAATCCCCTTCAGCAGATATTGCACCTTCAGCCTTTGATTAAAAGGTTGTAACAAGCATTTCCAGAAGACAATTTGAATATTTATTTAGTAAGTGTTGAGAAATACTTTCAATTTAAGAAAACATAACTATAGATTAGCAGTTGAGCAGTAACACCATGTTTCATATGTTAATTTCTGTTACCTGAAATCTAACCTCCCAGATGTGATCAAAGCACCTGTAAGACAACAGGAGGTACTCCACAAAACGAACATGTCCCACTAAGTGCCTCTCTCTTTGGCTCACTATGATTCTGGGCAAACTGGCCAGATGCCCAGCCCATCAAGTCAGCTTCCCTTCCTGATTACCACATTCTTTTGGTTAAGTTATTTCCGTATGTCTTGTTTCATAAACAAAGTCTTTCACATCATCTTTTAATCGTGCATTTTCATTTCACTTTCCCCAATTAAATAGTTAAAATAATTTTCTTAGACCTGAGCCAGAAACATTAGCATCAAAGGGTTTTAAATCTATATGAAAACATATTTTAAATCAATCCAATTGTTTCCTTGTGTGGTATTTATTGAGTAACTACTATATACTCAAATACTAACCTAGAAACAATAGATGTTTGAGGAACTAAACCAAAAATATCACTCTTCCACAGCAAAGATAATGGAATAACAACAGACTCAAACTAGTAATCCCACATACTTATACTCGTATTTCTGTACTACAAAGAATCAGTGAACAGTAACAAAGAAAATTCTAAAATTTCTCTCGAGATCAAACAGTTCAAATATATACATAATGTGGTAAGTTGTCAGGGCACCAGTGGCTCACAGCTGTAATCCTAGCTACCCTGAGGCAGAGATCAGGAAGATCACAGTTCAAAGCCAGTCTGGACAAAGTTTGCGAGACCCTATCTTGAAAACACCAACACAAAAAAGGGCTGATGGAGTGGCTCAGATGGTAGAGTGCCTGCCTAGCAAGCATGAGGCCCTGAGTTCAAACCCAGTACCATCAAAAAAAAGAAGAAGAAAAATTAACATAAAACCCTTAAAATGGCATCACTTTTAGTTTTAGGAATGCTGCTCGGCTGTAACTCAGGTCTGATATTAAATATCCATGAAGAATAGACTTCTACTTTAACATTAGCAAACAAAGGTCATTAATATCTTCGGTAATAAATTACTTTTCCCTTAGGTTTTATGCAAACAGTATATATTGTTTATTCTCAAATCCCTACAAATAGTTAAAATTTATCAAGTACCCCACCATGTTCCATTTAAGCCTCAAACATATTTAAGTGTGGTTGGCCATACCAATTGTAAAATCAAGCAAATATGAAATAATTTTGTAACTGAAGTAGGTATTTTAGGTCTATTGTTATAAAATTGAACAATAAGTCATCAACGACTATTAACTAGAACTGTTTTTATTATATCTTATAAATAAGTACTAAAATATTCTTACCTTAAATATGTGCCATATATGAAGAATAATGCCATCATTAGTCCATTTAAAATAAAAATTACAGCAACATAAAAGCAAGCAGGATCTCCCAATCCTTTAAAAATAAACAAAACATAAGTTCTAACCATAAATTGCTTTATATGTGCAACAATTTATATTAAACTGCACTTATTTGGAAGGCAGTTGCCAGATAAATTAAATGGTTGCCTTGTTTTCCACATAAAAACATGACATTAATGCAGCACAGAGATGAGAACAGAATAGCAGCTGTTCTGTTTAAAACAGAGCTGAAAATATGCCTGCCTCCTAGAGAGGTACAGAGCCTAGGCCCCATTTTTGGGTCTGGTTGGGCTGCAGTAGAGTAAGGGAACGGCAACACCAAAAGTGCCTTCTGGGGCGAGGGTATTGGAGGATGCGTGGCACACAGCGCTCCGGGCCTAGAACAGAAAAGCCTGGCTACTCTGAGGTGCCTCCCTTGCTATACAAAAGCCTGAGGCACATGGGAAGGCCATGTGAAGGTGTTCCAGCTGACAGTCCTAGCTGAGCTCAGCCTCCCAGTCACTCCAGCCCAGGGACAGAAATGACTGAAGCAGCCTGTAGTTCCGCACACTCTGCCCATCCATGGGAGCCTTATTTGCTGAGGACCTGATATCACAGAGACAAATCAGCCCTGATATAGACTGCCCAGATTTCTGACTTGCAGAAACTGTAAGCATAATAAAATGGTTGCTATTCATACCACTAAGACTGGGGTGAGTTTATTATGTGACAACAAATGACTGGGCAATGTTACAGAAAGAAACTCACCTTCACAGCTTTCAATAGGACTGAGTCCTTCTCCTCTGGTAACTGTCCAACATATCTTGGTTTGAATACCAATCAAGTCCATTATTTTAGTATAAATTCGGTACCAACTGGCCAAGACCACCTATTTTTTAAGAAAATCAAGGTACCAAGAAAAAATTATCCTAAAGAATTTTCATTATTAGAGTATTTTCCTAATTACCCAAAATCCCCTTCCTGTATTATCTACTTGACTCCCTTTAAATCTAGTTAAATAAGGCTCAAAATCTCTTCCACAGATTCTTCATGGGTTAATCTTTCACTGGTCATCCATGGGTAAGAATAAAATATAACAAGAAATTTGCAAGATTTGTTTTTAAAAGAAGAGTCAAACAAATAAGTAGATATTGTGTCTACCTGAATAGCTCTTATTTTTCAAGATATGAATTCTCCCTCAAATAAGAAAACATAAAACAATTCTTATCAAAATCCCAAGAATTTAAAATTTAGCTAGAAAAAATTTAAAAAAGGTAAATAACTAAAGGGAATATTCTAATAGATATCAAAGCTAATCACTTAAAATAATTCAACAGTGACTGAGGATCCATGTAACTGTTCTGGAGGCAGTGGCTGAGCTAGCAGGTCCTCTTCCAGGCAGAGATACTCACTGCCCCAGTGACTGTGCAGAAGGCTAGAAGCTGACACCACAGATGACCCCCAGTGGGACTGGCCCGTGGATTGGAGAAAGTAATGCTGTCAAGGTCACACCCAGTACACACTGGCAACCTACATACAATGCCTGATTAAGCAATAGAGGAGAATGGGGGTGGGGGTTTGCCTCAAGGCAGGATAAGTCTGTAGAGCTAGCTAACAGGGTTGGCTGAGGCCTTTGTCTGTGACTGCATCACAGCTCAGCTAGGCCTTGGCCTCATTCTGCTCCATTCACCCTCCTTCAGGTGTTGACCCCAAGGGCACTCCCTGACACAGTTCCTGCATGCAAATCTCCATCTCAGAGTCTACTACCAGGATCTCAGCCTAAGGCAATACTGAGCTGGAATTCCAAACACAGGACAATGTATATGCATAGTAATTTTGTATATATTAAAAAAGCTACTTTAAATCAGTGGGGAGAGGATGAGGTACTCATTAGAATGCTAGGTAAAATGAAAATATAAATATAAAAATGTAATTATAAACAATGAAGATTTTCTACATGTGTGTATAGAAGAAAAACCATAAATTAAAAACATTATAGACAAAATATTTCTATGTAGAAAAATATGTATACATAGGTAACAAAAGTATGTAACATAGTAAACACAGGGCTAAGGAAATGTTTTATCCACTTGTAGCACAGGTTTTATACATCATGCATATAATAAATCAGCTCTTACAAAATTTCAATAGCAATATAGACAAAGGGCATGAACAAATGATTTTTAAAAGTGAAAACACATTTATATGGATTGAAATATATATTATATAAGTGAAATACATCAAGTAATTATAATTTGTCTATCAAATCAGCAAGAATGCTGATAAACATTTCAAAAACACTACTTGTGGCAATTTCAATTAGTGTAACCTATATGGAAGACATTTTGGCAACATAAGACAAAGCTATTAAAGTATATTATGTGTTACACTAAATAGTTCCACATCAACAAATTTATAGTTTAAAAATTAAGGATGTATGTAAAGATTCAGCTTCAATGATGTGTATTGCAGCTTTGCTTAAAATATTTAAAAGATTGAAAACAGTTACAATTTCTATAAAAAGTGAGCTAAACAGCAATGGTAGATCATACATGCAGGCATAAAAAGCAATGCAGTGAAATACAGATGACATAGCAAGACGGTTATATCTTCTTCTTTTTCAGGGCTGGGATTTGAACTCAGGGCTTTGCAATTGCTAGGCAGATGCTCTATTGAGTCATGAAGGTATTTATAACCAGAAAGATGATAATAAATTTTCTTAAAAGACAAAAGGCTCATATAAAAAAATGATATACCTTGTGATCCCATTTCTGGAAAGCAAATTTGTATGTCACAGAAAGTACTTAAAAGCAGTACTTCTGTGCAAAAATGCTGAACCTTTATCTCCTCCATAATCAACTGAACTGGTTGATGTAGAATCTAGACTCCTCTCCCTCGACAGGAAATGCCTGAAAGTCCACTAAGGGCAGCTGCTGAGCAGAAACCTAGATAGACACAACCCTGCCATCAAGATCCCTTCTGACAGGTTGCCCAAGAAGGGAACATGCAAGGAAGTGTACTTCATAGGACAGCCCTGTATCAAGTCACAGAGGAAGGTACAGCTCAGCTATGTTGTGGAGAATAGTTAGGGATGTGTCAAAATGAAAGCATGGAGGGCAATGAGAAGCAGAAAAAAATTTTACTGGTATCATTGTCTTCCTCCTCCCTGACCTCCTAGGTGGGCTCACCTTCTACCCACCCCTCTCCCCAAGAAAGTATACTCAAATAAATGAGGAACCCCAGAGATGGAAGGAACACTATGTGGCAAATGAGATAAAGTAATTCCGTGCCCATGCTATAATCACTACAAACATATCGAAGCTACCAACCTTTCCCACTTTCTAAACAATGCAATCACAATTACATTTCTCACAGAATCAGTTAAAACTCTCCCAAATCAATAGTGATGTTTTCCAGATTTTTTCTCAACATATTTCTTCTTTAAAAAATGATAAAATTTAATATGCTGAATTAGAATATAGATTTGAAATCAGTACTTAATACAAAAATCAGTTTTAAAACAGTAAAAAACAATCACGAATGGAAAAAATAACTTACCTCAGGGTAAAGATTGAACCTTTTCAATGTATTAATAACAAGGGGGTATTCAGTCAACTTATCATTCATGATCATCCACACTCCATTAAAAAATGAGGGTGCTTCCACAATAGTCTTGAAGTAAGAATAATATAGTCCCTGAAAAAAGAATATGCTCCAGTTATAAAAAAGGCACACAATCATTTTGCCTTTTCTTAGCTTAAAAATATTTAAAATACATTGTTTTTGAAAATGCACTGAAGCAAGTAATAGCTACAATTAATTTCACAGGTTTCTGATCACTGATAAATTCTTTGGTTGCAAAAAAGTATGTACTTCAGAATAACCTCATTTTAATTGAAATAATTAAATGCAAAATAGCTTTAAAAATAGGTTCAATATTTAAATATATGCATACATAAAACTCAGTGTACCTCACCTATGAAAATTCTATAACCCATACTAATGTGTTAGAAAAACCTACATTCATGAACAAAGTAAGTGGTTTATTATGGAACTAAAATTTACCAGGAACCAAGAAATCCTCCCAAGGCAAAAAACCCATTTCCTCCTAAGTGCTTATCTGAACACCTAACATTGTATCAATCACCGTTCCTCCAGATTTACATGCAAAAATACAAATATGTTCAGAAGGCTGCAAATTGATAGATCACATAAATTTCATTCAAAAAATAATTTTACAGATTATTTTCCCTCAGGTCAGCTCAGCAGATATTGAACTGCTGAGATGGGAAGGGATCCTGCTTTGAGGGGAAGAGGTAATAATTTACTTTGACATGCAACTTTGAAAAGATAGCAAAGGTGGAGTAATACATGGGGCAAAAAACATGACAGTACGAGCAGCTAGGGAGAAAATCTAAGTGCCAATACGACCGCCATAGATAAACACAGGACAAATGCTGTCTTCTCTACGCTTTTACCTAGCTGTGCTCCAGTTATCAGTACCATCAGTGGTCAAACTCTAACTGCATATAAGGTTCATAAATCCAAGTGATTTGCCTATCCAGAGCTGAACAGTGTCAACAGAGTTGAACATCCACCAGAACCTCTGAATGTGACCTGATTTGGAAATAGGTCCTTACAGGATATAACCAAGTTAAGATGAGGTCAAACTAGATTAAGGTGAACTCTAATTCAAATACAACCACCATCTTTATAATAGGAGGGAAATGTGTACACAACAGACATACAGGAGAAGGGGGCCATAGGAAGATGGAGGTAGAGACCAAAGTGACACATCAACCACGAGGGGCTAGGAGGCAGCAAGGGAGAGTGTTCTCCCCTGCGGCTCTCGTGGAGCAGCTGGGCAGCCAATCCCTTCAATTCCCTCCTCTAGCCTCTAGAACTGGGAGAAAATAAATTGCTGCTGTTTTCAGCAATCTGAGTATACTTTGTTATGGCCGTCCTAGAAAACATCTCTGTCTACTTTGTTCTATAGGCTTGATTTTACAATCATATAAATAAATGTTTTATTTAATCATGAAACAAAAAATTTTGAGTTCTTAATTATCAAAATAAGAAACTATTTATCAAGTTGGAATAGACTTTCAAGTAACTGTAAGATATAGGAATTTCACTGCATCCTAGGATCTGCATCCTAAGATCCCAACAAACTGTTAGAAGATCTTAAATTATTTTCAGTCTTTATATTTCTAATAATACCTTTGGTATTTTTATTCTTAACAAATAAAGCAATTTAAAGCCAAATTTCTGAGACTAAGAGAAAAGATACAAGCTAGATGCCGGGGAGGTGGGGGCGGGGGGCGAGGCTGTATGCCTACAACCCCAGCACTGGGAGACTGAGGAAGAAGGGTCCTGAGTTTGAGGCCAGCCTGGGGAGGGAGGGAAGGACAGAGGGAGTAGAAGGAAGGAAGAGAGGGAGGGAGGGAGGGAGGAGGAAGAGGAAAAAAGGAAGGGAGGGAGGAACAAAAAATTAGATAAGTAAAGAAGTCTAATCCTAAATTAAAACTTTAAAATGTGAACAAAAATTCCTGATTTATTTTCTTAGAAAAAATTGTTCTTAATTCTGTCCACTAAAAGTAACTAGAACAATGGCCAACTTAGTAGCAATGACCATCTACAGCACCAAGATTGTGGTGTCTAAAAACCATTTGGCACTGAAAGGAATTGAGGCTTATTGTAAAAGTGACTATTGCCAGGTCAGAGGAGGAAAGTGGAAACTACAAGAACACATCAGGGTGTATCAAGGACCAGCAGAGCAAGTGGAAGAGCTTGTACCAGCTACAGCCAGGGAAGTTTACAAACTATGTTAAAACTCAATCAGAACACAATGATGCCCCAACAGAAGGAACTCCACTGGTTATGACTAGAAGATGCTGGAGAACCAACTCATTTTTCTAAAAAGTAGTAAGTAAAAAGAAAGAACCAAGCATTTATCTGTCTTTCCACTAAGAAGTGTACTGGAGAGAAACTAAACAGGTACTGTGGAAAAGTTCTTTATGGAAGTATAGTTAATAAGTGTAGGGAAAAAACATCATGGGGCAATTCTAAGGAGAAAACTGACCTATACTGATGGCTGGGCTCTAACAGCAAGACTACTCCTAAAGTCAGTAGGCAAAACGAACCTCTCAGAAAATGAGACAAGCACACACCCAGGAAGTATTCCTGTTAAAAACAGAAGTCAAATCTTCAGCTATCAGGAGTAGAATCCATCAATTTTCAGGAAACTCAGGACAATTTTTTTTATTATCATGTTTTATTATGGATAATTCTGTAAGACAAAAAAACTACATTCTTCAATGAATAAATGGCAGAAAAACAAAACAACAAAAGAGGGGAACAGGAAATTATAGATTAAAAGCCTTAATAGATACAGCAAGTAAATGTAATGTGTAGACCTTGTTCAGATCCTGACTTAACTTTTTTAAGTGCCAATCATGTCATTTAAATACTGATCTACATTTGATAATTGAAGAAACTGCTAGTGACAACTATACTGTGGTTAACAAAAAAAGAAAAACATCTTGTCTTCTGAGAAACTTGTGAAGGTATTCATAGACAAAATGATACAATGTCTGGAATTTTCTTTAAAAGTGGTAGGTGAGGAGGGGTGTAGCTATATGTGGTTAGCAATGTTGAAGATAGAAGATAGGTAAGGGAGAATTGTGTACTTTTTCTACTTGAGTATCTCTTTGAAAATTCCCACAATAAAAAGCTTAGAAGGCTTTAGAATCTCTTACTGGGCATGAAATCCCAACAATCAGGAGACTAAGGCAGGAGAATCTCAAGTTGGAGGCCAGCCTGGGCTACAATTAGCAAGATCCTGTCTCAAAAAACAAAACAAAAATGGAATCTAGAATCCCAAAATACTACAACAAACCATGTAGTGGAAACTAACCATTTCAGTGCGAAAAGCCATCTCCCTTTCCAATGTTGACAGGTGAGAAAAATGGCGATCATTTTCAAAGAGGTGTGTTATGTGGCACCTGAAAAAAGTCAAAACAACAAATCAGCAACGTTGAAACTTGTAAAAGTAACTGTGAAAGCAAAAATACAGTATAAATGTGTAGATAATTTTGTGATACAACTATAAAATAAGACTGCATTTGTCTTCCACTCAGTGTATCTTAACATTTCTACTAAAATTTCTCTCCATAAGGAAATATAATCCAATTAAATTTTAAAGTTAAAATGAATCAGAACAATGACATCTGAAGTGCAGTACAATAAAAATATGGATTAAACTGTAAATGCTATTGGGTTACCATTTCAGAAATGCCTGATTAATGAAATTCATGTCTCTTAACCAGAAAATTAAAAAAATTAATCTTCTACTCAATATGTATATTAATGTTAAGCAAATTAGAATTTCACATATAGCCTCTTTAATAATGGATATAATTTTTATTAAATAATTGTATCATTCTGACCCTGACTTAATAATTAACATACTTTTTCAGACTATTATATTATGTGCGATATATATTCATCCTTATCATACTGAAATTTTTCCTTTAAAAATATGTGAAACAGTTTTATTGTTATAAACATCTACATAAAACGTGTATTTGGAGAAAGAATAATCTTACCAGTGCAAGATGGCTGCAAAGGCAGCTGAAAGAAAAAAAGAAATTTAAGTTACTATTTTAGAAAGAAATATTTTCACCTTTATAGATATACACTACAAAGATGAGTTTGCCAAAATTTGGAAGTGGAAAAAGTGAACCAAGATTGGGAAAAGAATACTGACTTTCTAAAAGAAGCACTGGGGGTAGGCTTCTACCACCAGCAGACTGGATTGAGCAAATAGCTAGCTATAATTTTCATTCACTTACTCAATCAGCAAAATGTATGTGGGTCTATTGTTTGGCAAACACTATACAGGAAACTACCACAAGAAGAACTCAGAGGAACAGAACCAATAGATAAGAGTAAAGAAATATGGAGGCCAAGGCAGCAGGATTGGAAATGCAGACAATAACCACTCTTTATATACTACTGCAATGTTTGGATTTTTACAATAAAGCTTACTCTTGTTTTTTAAAATATAATAAATATAAATGTTAGGTGAAAGAAGGAGGGAGGGAGATGAAGAGAAAAAGGAAAGAAGAGGTAAAAGAGAGAAAGAAAGCTAATCACATAAATCTCACATGAGAATCAACAGCTGCTTTCTGCCCAAGTGCAAAAACATATTATGAAAAATCCAGAAAACATTCAACTTCTCTATATCACAAGGAACATCTGATTGCAAGCTTCTAATTAACAACCACTAAGCAATCCAACTATGAAAATGCTCTTGGAAAATAAAACCAAATCACTCAGATCTTACTGCTTTATATTAAAAGTGGCATTTGTAACTTTCTTAATTTAAAAAAATTTTGCCTTGGAGACATTAATGGTTACAAAAGACAGAGTTATTCTTTCTAAATCATTGAAGTTACAAATATTTTAACTTGGTTTGTCACTTGAAGTTTTTTATAGGTCACAGGCTATATTTATTCTTTAAAATTTTAACTTTTCTTTGAAAATGACAGATGTTGAAAAATCTATTTGCTTCATTTTTAATTTTTATCTTTAAAGATTTCACCAGATCAATATAAAACTTGGGCTTTATTTTCTCAATGATCCAATTATTATTTTCTGAATAAATGATTTTTCTAACACTTGCATAAAGTGTAAGAAATGATACTTTATCCTACTGAGGACTTGTCATGTAACCATCGGTAATCTCTTTGGGATTAGAATTAGAATTTCACTTAGAAATTAATTTGGGGACAATCTACATGTAATACAGTCTTCATATCCATAAATACAGTATATACCTTCAATTACTGCTTTTCAATTGTCCTTGAGGCAAATCCTATCAGTATAGTTAATACCAGGGGATTATCTCATATCTCTTACTCTCAAGCTTTAGGACAAGAACTTCAGATTTGGAGTTTTTCAGAATTTGGAATATTTGGAGATACATAATGAGATATTTCGGAACGGGGTTCAAGTCTAAACACAAAATTTACATATGTTTTATAAATACACAGAACCAAAAGTGATTTTACACAACATTTTTAGTGCACCTGTATTTTGATCATGACTCGCCACATAAGGTCAGATGTGGAATTTTTTCACTTGGGACCTCATGGTCAACACTCAAAATGATTCCCAGTGACCTCATGGTCAACACTCAAAATGATTCCCATTTTGGAGCATTTTCAATTTTGCATTAGGGATACTCAGACTGCACATATTTCCTGAGTATTCTAACATTTTTTTCTGCTAATATCCATGGAATTTTTTAAAGGTATACTATTGGACATTATGGCTAATGTATCTATTTTTAATGTATCTATTTTTAATGTATCTATTTTTGAACAGTATTTTGAGATGTATTTATGTTTGGTTCATTTTCTAAACTAGAATTCATAGTTTTTTTAAGTTTATCATCTTCAATTCTCCATTTTAAATAGCATTATTAACAAATGGTAATTTTGCTCCTGTTTTATGATGCTTCTTCCTGCCACTTGACAATAGCAAGTTTCTAGACTACTACTAAATAAAAAAAAATTCTGGCAAAGGGAGGGGGTGTTCTTGACTTCTGCTGACTTTAACAGTAATGCATTTCACATCTTGCGATTAAATTAGCTTTGAGTTTCACAATTCTGGAGTAATAACTAAGGTTTTTCAAGATCATAATCCTTCTATGTCCTCAAATACCACAATCTTCTCACAGAAGAAGCAAGATGTATTGCTCTTTAATTCCTTTAAGTCGTTCTTTCAGCGCCACCAGTGTAGACAACAGAAAAGTCTTGGACTTCCTGGCACGGAACAGGCACTTTTTCAGTCTCCAGGGTCCCTTAACAATCTCCTCAAGTTTTGAATTCTTCTGTTCCTTTCAATTTGGTAATAATCACCTTTGAATGCTTGCTACATAGCCAGCACTTTTAAGTGTGTTATCTGCATTAGCTCAATAAATTTTCACAAGTGCACTATGTGGAAGGTACAAATAGTTCCCCATATAGAGAGGAGAACTGAAGCACACTGCAATTGAGTAACTTGTCCAAGGATACACAGCACAGCAGGTAACTGGGAAACTGAAGCTAGACAAAGAATTCTAACCTGAGAACCATTTATTGTATGGCTCTACAAGACAAACGCCTAGGACTCCTTCCTTTAAAATATTTGTAATCTCCTCCCTCTTTATTTTAATGCTAAAATTCATGTCTTTATATATATATATATAGGCAGCATATTTTATAGAAGCTACTAATCCTGACATAAAAATTTGGATATAAAGTTATTAAAAATTGAAGTACATATGTCATTTGAAAATTAAAGTTCCAGTAAATACTGTTTCGTGAGCATGTAATTTAAATATAAAGACATAAAATGGCAGAAACTTCTGAAAGTATTCCTAGAGCTTTTCTTGCCTTATGCCTTCAGAAAAGAATATTCTAAATTCCTTTCTCTAAATTCATTTCACGAATTATCGACCTCTTCTATGTTTTGGGGGAGTGTAACAAAATTGGTAATTCATTTTTTTCTACTTTAACACCTATGCCCTTTTTGGGGAGCAGGAGGGGCAGTATTCTAAAGACCTGTATAGGCATGCTAAGTTTGAGACCACGTCCCCTTTCTACTCCCCAGGGTGTAAGGACAAGAATGGTGATGCCCATCTGTGGTAACCTGCAGGCTGCTCAGTCAAAGCAGCAGCCAGCTCGATGAGTTCCTGGCCACAAAGAAACTTTCTCATCATCCTACATTTCTTCCCTTACATGTGTATTTCACTAGTATTTGACTTAAAATTCAGACTTTTGATTTCCACAACAACCTTTGACTATTTTTTCCCATTTCACAAATGAAAACCTGGTCCTCAAAGAGGTTAGTCCCCAAAGGCACGTAACTGGTGTACCTACTGAACCCCATGGGTTCTAATTCCAAACATGGGTCTCCTTCCACATAACAAAGCTGCATCCTTTTCCATCTGTGGACATTTGGTAAGCTTGTGTTGTAAGAATATGCACCTAAAGAAGTGTATTGTGAAGCCCAAAATGATATGCAAAACTGAAAAACACAGCCTATTCCTAAATTGAGGTTAAGTCTTACTTAAAGCATGCTGAAGGGTTGGCCTCATTAACCCTCAACCGACAAAGTGACATTAAAAGAGATTAAAGAAACTCCTTAAATCGATCTTGACCAGGTTTTCAAATCAACCTTGACAAGCTATATATTCAACCCCTTCAGATTATTACCAACCATTTCTTATTGTTCTAAGGATCCATTCTGAGTTTTAGAGGTTTTCTTCCAGAAGCTGAACTAATCAGCACTGTTTCACACCAGCGTGTCATCCTGAGGCTGAGGTCAATTTCTAAAATGTTCATATCAGGCCTCTCCCTTGAAAGGCCTCATGCTTCCCACTGCTCAACCCCCACCACAGGCTCTTCATTCTAGTTGTGTTAAGCAACAATTCTCTAAAACCCCAAGTGCTTTAAAATGATATTGTTCCTTTGCTCCTGTCTGAAAAATACATAATTCATCCTTCAAAGTTAAAAGAATTCAAGTCTGACATTTCGTGCTGCTTGTTCTGCTGCCGTAGCAGCTGGGATACCTCAATCCTGGCCCCAAAAGAGGTAGCCACTTACATTGGTCTCCTGTGCTACAGCGTTAAGAGCCCCAGGGCTGAGCCAGGACGTAAGTCACCTATGTACTAATTCCCCTAGAACCATGCCTGGCACGTCACCTTTGAGGAACTGTTAGATTAATATTCCCTTATACCATGCAAGAGAAATTATACAATGCATTCAATTAAAAATTTAAACATGCAAAATATCTAAACAATCCAAACCAAATGGTTTGTATTACATGAAGACATGTTCACAATTCTATAGTACCTGGAACAAAATTCAGCTGTCATGGGCCAAGTAATGAAAAGGTATTCTTTCAGACTCCAATTTGAAAAAGAGAAAGAATTCAGGTATCCCACAAGGTCATCTCCTTCCTCACTTCTAGTGTCAACATTTTTGTGGGAGTTATGAATGCTTTAAAGCTAACAAGCAACTAAATGCCTGCTAGCTGTATAACGTTTTCTTAGAAACCAAGAACATTCAAGAAATATTAGTCAACATCACTGCTCTTAAATGTGAAATCTGAGAGAAGATTTATCTGAGATAAAATGAGAGAACACATTAAGCACTCAAGCAGATGGCACAAAGTCTAAGAACTGTAAGAAATCTGAGAATGCAGACCAGCAATGACCTTCTTAGGACACAGTTTATTAAAGAAGGCTCTTGGGGAGACAGGGGTCTCAAGACATGGATACAGCTTCAGTGGGGGTGTACAGTAGATTGCCAGAAGACAAATACAAAGTAAAGCTGGATGTGGACTTGGATCCAACATGACAAAAGAACTCCCATACTAATGACGGTAGTATGAAGCATAACTAATAATGATGAGGACGTGCTATTTTACTGAGGGCCCACTAATTATACAAAGTGTCAGGATCTCAGAACTCCCTGAGCACCAAAGGGGAGCTTAGTCAGAGCTTCCCCATCAGTGAGCCTTGCAGTGCCAAGAACAAGAGAGACAGTCTCTAAGGGAAGTTGCCTCTCAGCTTTGAAGAG